GAACCGCACCCAAATCCTCAGCGTCCCCGGCGCCCGCCCCGGCTTATACAAGCGCTTTTTCTGCGTGAGCGGCGTGGTGTGGCGCACTGTCCCGTGCCTCAAAATCCTGCGGAAGGACGAGGTGCTGCCGGCCGCGCTAACACCCAAATCCTATGGAATTCCCTGTATCCAGCTCAGCCCCGATGGAATTCCCCATTTCAGGGCACATCTCCCACTACAGTCTCCTTCCAACAAGACAAAGTCCAGCTCCGTACATCCCTTGAGCTGTGTGGGTTTAATTATTTACAGCAATAGCGGGGAGAAATAAAGATCCGTGTGTAGCAAAATTCCAAAAAGCTGCTTAAAAACCAGTCGGTTTTCCCTCTGACCTAGATCGGCCGATCTTTCCCGGTTTTTCCCTTTCCCCTCCATACTGAGCTGCTGGGAGGGGACAGAGAAACCAAAGGAAGGTCCTGCGTAACCCAGGGGTGTAAAACACCAGGACTCACCCCCCTCCCAAATAATTCCAAGGTGCCTTTTCCAGGTATCCACTATGTGGGGCAGATGCAGGAAGACTCCATCACCCGCTTCCTGGTGGACCAGCTGACAGAGGGGCAGCTGGAGTGGGCTCAGCTGCCGGACGTCTACGACGCCGTGATTTTGGGGGAACCTGGCCGCAGCAGGACGTATCGCATCTATTCGGGGAAGGAGGAATATTTCCAAGGCTTGAGGGAGCAGTTTCCCGGCGAGGAAGCTGCTATCAATGAGTTCCAGCGGCTGATGAAGGTAGAGGGGGCTTCACCGCGGAGATGGGATGGCGGGATATTTTTGGCTCTGGTCCCTCAAGGAGGGTAAATCCTCCCACCCACCCCCGACACCCAGATATTGAGCAACTCTGGAGGATAATGGTATTGCACAACCCAGCCCCAAAAGTGTTGGGAAACATGTCAAAAACCTCCCTTTTCTGCCTCAAAACCCCAATGTCATACTCGTTTTAACCTCGTTCCCCACAGATTTTTGTGGTCCCACGGGATGTGCCGGGACCCCTGTGAGCCCCGACGCTCCTTCGCCCCGAGGGCCATGGGATGATGCCTTGGGACCTCCCGGCCATCATTCCCCAAAACACCGCCAAATTAACATTAATTATGCTTTGAAACCCCCGCAAAGGCTGGGAGCCCGTGCCAGAGGGGAGCTTTTTGAGGGGACCAAGCGCTCCCCTTGCCCGCAGCTCCCCGGGATGCAGCCCTTAAGGGACGCCAGCACCTCCCTGCCAGCCGAGCAGCCAATTTGAGAGGAAAAAAAGATACTTTCGAGCATCTTTCGACGGTTTCGGGGTTGTGTCTGGTGACGGATGCTCAGCAAGAGCCTCTCCTCCCCGCAGAGCGCCGGCAGAGGAATGGTGTTTGTGGGCCTCTTGAGGATGATGCCCCGGACGCTGGCCGCGCTCCTGTGCCGCTCGGGGCTGCTGCCCTGGCTCAACTCCTTCTGCTGGCTGGCGACACGCAGCCTGAAGGACGTGGTGGATAGCCTCACCACCAACCCCGAGCTCAGGGCCGTCTTCAGCTACATCTTCGTCACCTACGGTAGGTAGCCAGGAGGCTCCAGGGCAGCGTGGAGGTGAAGTTAAACCCCTTAGGAACAAAAAAGAAAGGCAAGAACCCCGCTTTTTCGCTTTGCTTGTGGTTTTGGGTGGGGGATGCTGGGAGCATGGGTGCTGTGTCAGCATGCTCGTCCCCAAGCCAGCTGGTTGTCCCCACGTTCCCAGTGTTCACCTTCGTCTCCTTCCTTCCGCATCCTTCGGCATCGTGGCGTGGCAGTATCACTTCCCCTGTGCGAGGGACCACCCGCCCACCCTTAGCGTCACGCTGGCACCCACTGCTTGGCCTCGCCGTGACCTTTTCACCCTGAGCCTTCCTCCCACCCGCCCTGGGGGTTTGGTCACGGCCCCCCGTGACTCGGCCAGTTCAGCCCAAGTTGTGCAAGCGCCAACGGACTTTGCCTCAGGCCCACCCCCATCTGCCCCCCTCCCTGCTCTTCTGGGTATCGATGAGCTGGTATTTCCCGCATCTGTCCTTCCTCTTCGCATTGCATCCGGCCAAGCACAGCGTGTTCCTCATCCTAAAAACTTCAGGACAAGCCACAAAACCACAATTTGGCACAAACGCTGCCCCTTTTTTTCAGGCGTGGTCCCCTCCAAGACCAGCTTCTCCATGCACAGCCTCCTGGTGAACCACTTCCTCAACGGCGCGTGGTACCCCAAAGGGGGGGCTGGGGAAATCGCCTTCCACATCATTCCTGTTATCCGGAAAGCCGGAGGCAACGTGTTGGGGAAGGCGCCGGTGCAGAAGATCCTGTTGGACGCCCAGGGCAGAGCCTGTGGTGAGCATCGGCACGGGACGAGGCGCATGTGCCGTCTCCCCACTGCGGCATCGCTTTTCACCAGCGCCGTTCCTCACCCGCTCGCCCTTCCCTTCCAGGCGTGAGTGTCCAGAAAGGCCAAGATTTGGTCAACGTCTTCGCTCCCCTTATCATTTCGGATGCCGGGATCTTCAACACCTACGAACGGCTCCTGCCGGCGGAGGCGCAGGCATTGCCCGGTAAATCGCCAGTGCTGGGTTTCACTGGGGCTGTGGCGTTAATCCCGCTCCGAGCCACATCAGGAAGTGGCTTCTTTATACTAAAACCCTCCTGTTGGTGTTGGGGCATTCACATCACCATCCCTGGCCATGCTTTTCTTTCAGGGTTTTTAATCAAGCCTAAGTTAATTTGCCCAAAGTGGCCATACAGTCGGCAAAGCCCGGGCTTGCTGCTCGGTTTCCCCTAAAAAACACAGTGTAGTGCCTCAAAACGTATGAAAATTGGTGAAATGTCCACTTAAAAGTGGGTTTAGTGCTGCCACAAAGTCTTGCTGCTTTGGAAGGGGCATGGTTGGGTGGAGGCTTTCTGGGCAACGATTCAGTCCCGGTTTTAGCCAGGACAGAGTTCATTCTGTTCACAGTGGCTAGTGTGAGGCATTGTTTTGGATTTTCCCTGAGAATAAGACTGATAAGGTGTCTTTTACTTGTTGCTAAGGAGCGTTTGTACCAGTTCAAGGACTTTTCATCTTCTGATCCTGTCCCCGTGTTCCCCAGTTTCTCATTACAAGCGGTGGGGACGCACACACACAGTTCAGACAGCTAACCCAACCTGACCAAAATTCCATTCCATAGCACGTCATCCTCAATATATAGGCCAGGGTTGGGCCAGGGGGGCCGTAGCTTGTTCGTTTAGATCGTTTGCTTGTTAGCTAGCTCGTTGATTTGTGCATTCGTTAGTGAGTTGATGGGTCAGTTAGC